TACTCTCAATTGTATTTTCGTTAAATTTTTCCATCAAATCACAAAAACGAGTGTCTGAAGTATCTGCTATCTTGCTTTTCCTACGTGCTTCTTTTGCAGCTTTCCTTCCACTAGGCCTTTTGGTTCTTGGGGATTTAACAGATTTTTCGGTTCGATCTTGATCGGAATCGAGAGAAATAGGCGTTTCAGGAATTTGGGATGTGGAAGAGGAAAATGGGGAAGAGGAATATGGGGTCATTGCAGGAGACTTTGGCTTTCCCCAATCTTCCCACTTAATGGCATGTTCCAAGATCGCCCAACAGTGATCCAAAGAAAAATGTTTCTTCTCATTTGCATAATACAAACTTTTTGCTTGAAAAAACATAGAAAATGATATGAAACAAAATTACATGTATAAAAATTAAAATTACAACTAACAAGAAAAGTAGAAACTCACCTTATCTGTTTCATTGATTCCACTTTGTTACCTATTTTCAATTTGTCTGAGACACCCACTATATTTACCGCAAAACTTCATGATTATGCCCCAACGAGATTGGATAGAAACTTGTGTTCTACCATTTTCGTCGTTGCTTTGATCAAGATAATTTTGGAATATCCGACTCCAAAACTTACTTTGTGATTGCGAGTTAACAACAATTGGATCTTGGGTGATTCTCAACCAAGTATTGCAAATTGCTATATCTTGATTCAGCATGAATGTCTTTCTCCGCTTTGTTGATGATTGAGAAACTTCCATTGATAGTTATCAATATGCCAAATCAAAGCAAGGGTCTGTGAATAAAAATGAAGCTAGAATTAAACCTAATGTGGCTATGATAACTATTTCAATTTGGCTATGAACCTACTAATATTTTATATAGTAGGAAAATAGTCCATAACAACATATAACATTGTAACCTAAACCAACTTTTTCTATGTCTCATCTAAACAAAAATATTGAAGTTTGAAAATTCTATAATTCTAGAAATTGTACCATTTTTTTTCTATTAAAAAAAGTTACTCATTATATTAATCAAAATAGTTTCAAACACACATACACACATGCATACAATAGTTTAGAATGTTAACTGCCAATAGTACTATAGTTCAAGGGATTGAAGTGTTGGCATAGTTCAGGGGTTATATGCCATTACCCAAAACTCAAAGATTACATTCATACTTCAACGTCTATTTCAATTCAGACCACTTGTTGTTATTAAAAACTAGGTAGTTACTATATTTCCATAAATACTAAACTAAGGAAGCTGTCAAACTCAAAAGTTCTTTCTTTATAGATGTACTTATTGGAAGGTAGAGTTAATTGTGTAGAGACCAATAGTTCTATGATACACCTAAATGTTTTATTGGAGATAAAATGAGAGGAATGATTTATGATACAGGAGAAAAGACCAATAATTGTATAAGTGAGGAAGAATTATCACGAGTTTATATTGTGATTAGTAATTTACCTTCTAGTGATGCAAAAGTAAGGGAACTGAATATTTTAAAATCAATTTATTGATTATGTATTCCCAATTTGTTTCCCAGATCACAAGATCCAAATATCAATTAAAATTAAAATATGCACCAACAATTCCGGGAATGAATTTTCCATTCACATGAGAAAATGAATTTCCAAATAGATGAATATCAGAACTAACAATTGAGTGAAATAATTGGGGAATATGTAAACAACTGAATATGTAAAGAACACGTGAATTGAAATCATCTCACCATAAACTAATGACAACTTAATTGATTGAAATTATCACCACATAGTAACATTTACAGAAAGACTCTACAATTTTATAGGGGAAGGCAGGGATGAAAGAGAAATTATAAAATAGTACCTAGGTTTATGTTGCTTGACTACAGTATTCAGAGGCCCAAGCCAGTAGAAAAGTTGCAAACACAGTAATAATTAAATTTCAAGAAGAAATTCAAGTAACTAAAATCATTGAGCACAAACAAGAAAATACCCTAAAAAATTTAAAAGCATGTCCACAAATAGCAGAATAGGCCGGAGAATATTAGGGCTTATATGTGGAGAAATGTGAAATCAAAGAGAAAAAGAAGGAGAAAGACGGAAAAAGCCAGAATCGAGGAACGACAAAAACGAAGAGAGAGTGGGAGAAGGGAAAAAGAAAATGAGAGAGAGAGAGGTGGGAGATGGCACCGTAGTTTCTCTGTGTTGCTGGTTCCCCCTTGCCGCCGTTCTCTTCTCTCTCTATTGCCTTAGCGAAAGAAGAGCCGGCCCCTTCTATATGTCTAGCCCCAAAGAAATTGACGTTTCTTTTGCCACAATTGGCGTAAGAATTGACAAAGGCAAAAATTGGCAGCCCAATTGACATTGCATTGGAGAGTCCATTTTGAAGCCCACCTGCTATATTTTAAAAATAGCAGCCCAAATGGCATTAGATTGGAGAGGGTCTAACCTCCCTATTTTCAAAGAGGAGGGAGAGGTTTTAAATCCAGACTTGGGATGACTTTGTTCACACAGAAAAAAAATAATAATAAAAATAAATAAATATGAAGAAAAACTTTGTGGTTCATATCTTTGGATATCTTGTTCAACCCAGGTTTTGAATTGTAAATATGAAATTAATCAAGCAAAAACCTTTGTAATATTACAATAAGACAAGCTCAAACTGGTAAGCAGACAATCACTTTGTACAAAATACTTTGAAAAGTTAAATATGTTAAGTAAGCAAAATTGCACCCTTCAAATTATTGTATGGCTTGATAGGGAAATACGTTTCAGGAAAAATCAAATACAAGTATACAATATGACCATTTGCCCATCAAGTACAAATAGCACCAAAGCAAGCCTTGTTCATTTCACATTAAGACCAATTTTTATTACCAATGTACCATGTAACAGTGTTGCATCAAAATAACATATGTATTCCCATCCTTTTCCAAGATTTTCTACTTAAAATTTACTTGTATTGGCATACATTAAATACAATGAGATAGCAATTAATATGAGAAATCTATAATTTTTTATTTTTTTAATTTTTTTTGCACATCTATAAATGATAGACTACTAATATATTTTTATTTCCATTATATTACAACTACATATAAAATAAAATATATCCATTATATTACAACTACATGTAAAATAAAATATTTAATAAAAAGTATTTAAATCTAAAATTATAACTCTAATGTTGAATTTACGAATTACAATGACAACATCAGAGAGAGAGAGAGAGAGAGAGAGAGTGGGCGGAAAGGTTACCAGTAAGCGAGTGATCTGCCAATAAAATCCAAACTCTTTTAGGAAACTTTAATTAAACGCTACCTTTAGCTTGAATTAAACGTTACTAATTACATAAAGATTGCTTTGATCTAAAATCGTGTCCCACAATTGGTCTGGTCTAAGCGTGCTCCCGCTTTCGTGCGTGCTCCCTCTTTATATCATTTGACTTTGTGAAAAAAAATCATTTCTTAACACTTGATCTGACCAACTTAGTCTTACTAAATCAATATTATTTCAATATGAAAACATAAAGTGAACTTCTAAAACTTAAAAAAATAATAATAATAAAAACACAAAAAAAATTATAAATTACGTAGTATATATTTTATATAGACACATTTAGGGAAAAACATGGATTTTAAGTATAATATGAAAAAATAATTAAATGTACAATATATTACAAAATAAATAGTCCATATGAAATACCCTTTGACCTCTAGAACTTAGAAGACCTGCCTTGAGGCTTGAATTAAACATTATCTTGAGGCTTGAATTAAACGTTACTGTCTACATAAAGGCTGCCTTTATCTAATAAAATCGTGTCACACAATTGGTCTGGTCTAAGCTTACGTGCTCTCTCTTTATATCATTTGACTTTGTGAAAATAAATCATTTCTTAACTCTTCATTTGACCAATTTAGTCTTACTAAATCAATTTTATTTCGGTATGAAAACGTAAAGTGAACTTGTAAAACTTAAAAAAAAATAAAAAATAAAAATAAAAAATAAAAATTTAAAACACAAAAAAATTATAAAATTACGTACTACTTAATATATATATTTTATATAGACACATTTAGGGAAAAACATGGATTTTAAATATTATATGAAAAAATAATTAAATATACAATATATTACAAAATAAATACTCCATATGAAATACCCTTTGACCTTTAGGCCATCCGCAACGGGCTTTTTAAAACCCATTTTGGATGAGCCAATGGACTATATCAGCTGCAGCGGGCTACCTATAATTGGTAGGGCCCATTTTCGCTCGCAGGCCGGTTCGCAATATTCAGCGAGCCGGCCCGCGATCGCTACCTTTTTTTTTTTTTTTCTTTCTTGCTTCAAAACGGCGCCGTTTTGGGCCGCCCCTATTTTGTCCTATTCTCCAGCTTATGCACAGTGAGGCACTATTTGGCAATTTTTTTTTTTTTAAACCTAAAAATAGGTTATTTTTAGCTCCTTTTAGAAAAAAAAAAAATTAAAATAAAATTCATTAAACAAAAAATATATTGTTTAGGCACTATTTATCAAAAAAAATATTTATTTGGGCCAAAAATAAATTCAAAAAGCTTTTGTTTTTTCTCCTTAATTTTTTTTTTTTTTTGCTTTAAATTGTAATCCTTATTTTCTTATTCCAATTCATTATTTTTAATCCTTATTTTGTAATCCTTATTTATTTGGGCAAAAAATAAATTAAAAAAAAGCTTTTTTTTGTTAACACTTTTTGTAAAAAAAATAATTAAAATTACAAATTCATCTACTTATTCCGATAGAATTTTCTAATACTTATTTTCTTATTCCAATTCATTATTTTTAATCTTAAAAAACCATTACATAATAAAAATTTTAGTACACGAAATGTCATAACATCTTAAAAGCAAACAAAATATAACATAAATTAAACATCTTCATCAGCATAACGATTCCACAAATTTTTCATTAAATCATTCCTCAACCGCGTATTTGTCTCTCTGTTGCGAATCTAAAGTTGGCGAGAGGATATGTGTGCCGCTAAAACTGATGGGCATCAACTTAAAGTGGGAATCGGGATTGCATCCTCCGGTGGCGGAGTCCATCTCCCAACATTTGTGTGACGCTCATCTTCAATGATCATATTGTGAAGGATGATGCACGTTTTCATTATGAGGCGCAAGTCATCTTTCTCCCAGTAACGTACTGGTCCTTGCATTATTGCCCACTTGATTTGCAATACCCCAAAAACCCGTTCCACGTCTTTCCTTACTGCTTCTTGTCGATGAGCAAATAAATTTTCTTTTGTAGTGGTTAGGTGCGGGATGGTCTGCATCAAAGTTGCCCACTTAGGATATATACCATCAGACAGGTAATACCCCATTCTATTGTGATGTCCATTCACGACATAATTAACCAAAGGTAATTGGCTATTGACGATATTGTTAAATACCGAGGAATGATCCAACACATTTATATCATTGTGTGAACCCGACATTCTGAAGAATGCATGCCAGATCCACAAATCTTGTGAGGCAACTGCTTCCAATATGAGAGTATTCTTGCCAGATCGTCCCCTATGTGTGCCTTGCCACTCCACTGGGCAATTCTTCCACTCCTAATGCATACAGTCGATAAAACCAAGCATACCCAGAAATCCTCTCTGCTCCCCTTCTTCAAGCAGCCATGCTATGTCTGCTTCGTTGGGTGGGCGCATATACTCTTCTGCATACACAACAACAATAGCATTACAAAATGCCTTTAAGCATTTAATGGCAGTGCTCTCGCCGATTTTAATATACTTATCATAGTGATCGGCTGCACAATCATATGCGAGTATACGAATAGCTGTTGTCATCTTCTATATAGAAGACAATCCCAGACGACTAGTCGCATCTTTTTTTTGGACAAAGTAGTCATCATAAGCTTTAACATCATTAAGGATACGAAGAAAAAGTTCTCGTCGCATCCTGAATCGCCTGTGAAAGTACTTCGTTGGATATGTGCAATTCTCGTTGAAGTGGCCTTTCATTAGCTGATAGTGGCTTCCCTCTCGGTCATGATGAATATACTGCTTCTTTTTACAGAATTGAAATACTTGCTCAACTATCTCTCGCCTCATTGAATTCATAATCTCATAGAATTTGTCTTGATCCTGATGAATCAACGCCCCAAAAGGATCATCTTCTGAAGAGGATGACGAGAAAGATGAAGAATTAGAGTTTGCCAAAGGAAAAGCTTGTGATGACGAAGCCATTCGAATTTCGAAATTGAAAAAGATGGATGATGATATGTTGCTACAATGGAAATAGATGAATATAGTGATGATTTTCAGATGAGCAAATGAGTTTCATTATATAAGATGAAAAATATAGCTGTTAAAAATATAGCCGTTACAAATATAGCCGTTAAAAATACAGCCGTTACGAATATAGCCGTTTAGGAAAAGTTAATAATAATAATAATAATAATAATAATAATAATAATAATAATAATAAAATTAATTTTAATTTATTATTATTATTTTTTTTGGAGAGCTAAAATTCAGAGAGCCTGATGGAGTAGAGCGAAAACTGCTGACGTGGCTCTTGGAATTGCTGATGTGGCTCTTGGAAAAGCTGATGTGGTGTTTTTAGAGAGCCAAAATCTAGAAAAGCTGGTGCAGATGGCCTTAGAACTTAGTAGATGCTGCCTCGAGCCTTGAATTAAATGTCAACTTGAGGTTTGAATTAAATGCTACTTTGAGACTTGAATTAAACGCTACTGTCTATACATAAAGGCTACCTTGATTTAAAAGGTTTGGTTTAAGCATGCTCCCACTCTCATACGTGCTCTTAGGGGTACACAAAAGAACTGTGGAACCGGAATTGGAACCGAAATTTAGATTATCACGGTTACGGTTCCGGTTCCGATTTCAGTTTCTAAAATGAGGAACCGTTAGTTTCGATTCGGTTCCGGTTCCAGTCTCACTTCTGGAACTGGAACCGTAATATATATATATATATATATATATATATATATATTTGATTATATTTTTTTATTTTTAGGGCAAATCATTTCAGTCGCAGCCTCCCCAATCGCCTCCATCTCTATTCTCTCGACTCTGAACTTGCCCTCTCTCTCAGATCTCTCACTCTCTCAGTCTCAGTCCTAGCCTTCTCTCAATCTCTGAGATTCTCTCTCTCTCCTTTGGCTCTTCACTTTGAAAGAGCAGACCCTAATCAAGCTATCTGAGCAAGCAAAAGGTAGAAGACGATGCTAAGAGTTGCGGGTAGGAGGTTAACCTCTCTCTCATGGAGGTCCACCCAGACATCATCGGCCTTCGTCAACAGAAATCCAATCAACGGCTCTGATTCGCCATCATCAGATTCCAGCTGGTCCACCTCCCAACTCCCCCACACATTTTCTATCTTTTCCCAATTTCTAGATTAAATCTAAGGTCAGCCCTCTCACCTTTGTTGCTTTCTCTCTCGTTTTTCAGATCTAGGGCTCATATATTTTTGCCTACTATGCATCTGTTCATGGCTTTAGGTTTTCTTTTCTGATCCATTTAATCGTTCGCAATATATACAGGAAAAAACCCAAACAAACGGTTCTCATGGAACCGAACCGGAATCGAACCGGTTTTGGTTCCATACTATACGGTTCCGGTTCCGTTTTCAAGGAACCGTTATGAACGGTTCCGGTTTGAACGGTTCCGGTTCCAGTTCCGACCGGAACCGTAAATAACCGAACCGTGTGCACCCCTACGTGCTCTCTCTTTTATATCATTTGATCTTGTGAAAAAAAATTTATTTCTTAACACTTGATTTGACCAACTTAATCTTACTAAATTTATTTTATTTCGTATGAAAACATAAAGTGAACTTCTAAAACTTAAAAATAAAAAAATTAAAAAAATTTAAAACACAAAAAAAGTTATATATTAGGTAGCATATATTTTATATGGACACCTTTAACAAAAAATATGAATTTTAAATATTATATAAAAATAATAATTAAATATACAATATATTACAAAATAATACTCCATATGATTTAGGAAGCTTGAATTAAACGCTACTTTAGCTTAAATTAAAAGCCGCTACCGTTAGCTTGAATTAAAAGCTACTGTTGCCTATACATAAAGGCTGCTTGATCTAAAATTGGTCTGGTCTAAAGCGTGCTCTCTCTTCACGTGCGTTCCGCTTTCATTCTCTCGCTCCAGCTTCAGCTAACATGGATTGGAGCTTGGTTCATCGATCTGTTCCTGCTCAAACCTTCTCATGGGATGAGTTGTTCCAATTGGGAATGCAATCCCTAGCCATGGAAATTAGGATTGATCGAAATCGTCAGACTGTGAATTCATGTTGGTACCCTGTTCCTTACAGCCAGATACAACCGGACCATGACGATGATGAAGCTGATTTTGATCGGAAGGCACGCACATTCTTCTCTTGCATCCTTTCCGCCGAGCAAATTCCGGAAGATGAGGGTATGATTGACGAGATGGTCTCTCTTGCTAGGGTTATTTGTCAGACAAGTGGAAATCGCAGTAGCCTCCTATCGGCACCCGTACCATCAACGGTTGTAGAGGTCTATATCTCCAACAACAACAGGGCTTCGGGCAACAGGGCTAGCGCTAGGGCTTGGGGTTTTGATTTGGAAGAAGTGCTCAATGCATTCCGTCCTTGGATGCCGAGTTTGGAAGAAGCCAATACAGTCAATCCGAGGGTGCCGCTGCCTCGGCCAACAAGGAAAGCATCTATCGAGGCATTGGAGAAGGTGGTGGCAATTGATAATGATGGTTCTTCTGCTGATCAGTGTGTCATATGTTTGGAGGAGTTTCGGTTAGGGTCCGAGGTGCTCACTCGTCTACCATGTTCTCATGTTTATCATGGGGACTGCATTGTTAACTGGCTGCGGAGAAGTCAGTTGTGTCCGGTGTGTCGTTTTCAAATGCCAACTTGAAGATTATTTTTTTATTTTTTATTTTTGGGCAGTATTCATAGTTGATTGAAGGAGGCTGCATAAATGTAAAAAGTATCAATCTTTCAATGAAAAATTATTCTTATTCGGGATTTTTTTTTTTTTTTTTTGTGTTTTATAGTTGGATTAATGAGGCAAAACACACTTTCTTATTCTTTAAGTACTCATCACAATTATGAATTACATAAATAATAGTAGGCATATGACAAATTATAATGATATTTCTGGTTTGGTTTTTTTTTTTTTTTTTGTTCTTTTGTGGTAGATAGTTATATCAACTGATTATGAACCAGTTTGCTAAGAGGGAGAAAGATAAAACAATAAAAGAAAAAAAAAAAAAAAAAAAAAAAAAAATCGAAGAACCCAATAAAATAATCTGCTCAAAAAGGGGGAGGCAATCTATGGACGCTGCACTTCTAATTCCCCCAACTTGATCCCTTCCTCTCTCCCCGGGTCTCTGTCCGCGTGAACTTTCCAGCTGAACAACCTAATCTTGGCTTCAATAAAATGACCAGATCAACACAAAGCAGAAAGCTTTTTCCCCAAAGTGATATCATCTGCTTAGTATTTCATGTGATATATAAAAGATGATACTTCAGCTGAAAAGGCCCAAGTAATAAAATGAAACAAAATTGTCTTGACACCACCTCCATTGCCCTTTATCACCGTCTATTAATTTTTTTCCTTCTACTGCCCACTATCACTATCTTTACCTGGTCCTTTGTCCCTGCCATCAACACCCTCACCAGTCAACTTAACTAATCCACTACCACCAAACCTTCACCACTTCACAATCTAAGTTTTTGTAATTCACTACCTCTAAATTAAATTATTGGCTCTGTCACCATACACACCTTTTGGTCAAATCTACAGCACCAAGCAGATCATCTGGAATGTGGTGGATTTACTGGGACTTCAGTTTCAGGACTCGGTGTCTATGGTTAATATTCGAGTGGCAGGCAGCTGTTGTTTCGTTGCGATGGTTTTATTATGGTTCTATGGTTCTGTCTCGTGTGTTTTTGTATCTTCTGTTCCTTCTGTATGTGTGCCTTGTATCATTGGTTTGGTCTTTTCTTGGTTTATAAAGCCCTCCATGTGGTGTGGCCTGTTATGTGTAGATATTCTATTAATCTGTTTGTAAGCTTTGTCTTTTGTTGGAAAAAAAAAATGCCATTTAGGGAAAAAAAATCTACAGCACCACCAAAACCCCCCAACTCTCTCTTCTCTCCACCATACAAAGCCCCATCAATCACACCTTCATTACCATTGTCTATAGTTGATTTTTAAACAAGGAAAGTTCTTTTAGTGGATCATCTTTTGCATTGACCTTAAAATTTTGTTTGAGGTTGAATACTTAAATGAGGGGCTTATAACAAGACTCTCTTACGTATACGTTGGTTTCCCCCCGGGGCCTATAAAGTCAGATATAATGTACCGCAGAGGATCCTTCCTCGTTCTCGTTCTCCTTACCGGTGGAAGGAAAACAAAATAAAGATACATGTGTTCTACAAGAACAATTGTTGTGTTGAATTCTTTATAAAAACAATTATCTGAAAATAAAGCTAAAAGAAAAGGCAATGTTATGTTTTCTTTTCAATTATTTTTGAAATACATTTTTCAGATAACAAAATAGGAAAGATAATTCACTTTTCAATGTCCTATTAATGATAGAAAAAACATATATTCTTTTACAGTTTTGTTTACAAATTTGCATGCTTCTATGGGACAAGTAAAGGCACACTGAGATTTTGTTTCCTTTGGAATAAAATTATTGTTAGGGGCTGGACAAAGTGAATATTCATACGTTAATTGTACCTCACACACAGAAAAGGTTACAGAGGCCAAAGGTTAGCTGCCACCTAAAACCTTTTCTTAACCTGAATTCGTGTGGTCTATATTCTTTTTTAACAGCCCCTTTCATTTCTCTGTCTCCTCTTGTGAGAATTGGGAAACTTATCTCTCTCTCGCTCATCCAAAATCTGTTCTGCCCCAACCCGATATCAAATTCATCCTCTTCGATTCTAATGGCATTGATCATTGAATCAATCACTTGGCTTGAAATTTATTGACCATCGAATTATCGATCATCAATGAGTTGGTTGGTATTGTTTCCCAATTACTTTACTATTTGTTTCCTTTGTTTTTGCCATAGGTTCAGTCACTTTGCTTGAAATTTCTTCTTTTATATCCATGCATTGCTAGTTTTAGATCTATTAAATCAACAAGTATATGTGTATGTATATGCATTTGTGAGCACATTATCAAACACACTTATGATTGCCCAATCCTAGCTGCTGTTTGATTCATTAGATCAATACTGTGATAATTATTAGCTGGTTGGTTTTTGACATTTTAGTATTTCACAGAATCATAAATCCTCAACCATGAGTTTGTTTTTAAATCGAATTTTAGGTAGAGTTCCTTAAAGCGAAGCTTGCTTTTGATGATGCATACTATAAAGAAGAAACTGATCTGAAATCTGCTCTCAAAAGTTTAGATTCTTTGTTTTTCTGTTTAAGGATGTGTTTGTAGCTTAATTAAAAAATTTGTCTCTGGAACATGCTTCTGAGCTTAAAAATCCAGCTGCTAAGGTGATAGGCAACGGGAGACAGAGTATTCATGTGTCTGACCCCATTCATATGGGAATAAGGCAAGGATGATGATGATGATAGTATAATTTTGGATGTTGTTTTTGATATTTTTGTAATTTATCATTGCATGGTTTGGGTTGTACGTAATGTGTTTGAATGAATGCCCATTTCAAAATGTTTTTTCAACTTTAACTACTTTGCTCCTGTGCTTATAATTGTTTTGCATCTGTACTCTTAACATAGCGTCAACCTTTTTGTAGTTACTCTCTTTCTCTCTCTATGTGTATATATATATATGTGTGTTAGTGTGTGTGTGTGTGTGCAGGAAATGTTTAGCATTTGATATATGCTTGATGATTCAATTCCAATTGATTATGTTTTTAAGTTGGGAATGTATGATTTGCTGAAGAACTCTAAGATTGGTACTTAGATTTGTCATTTTAGTACACACCATCGCATTTTAGTCCCAAAATCTTTTCCATGGTCCTTATTATTCTGCTTGGGCTCACCATGTCATCCTCAACTGAAGATCATTGTCTCTAAGTCGGTTTCAGTGGGAATGAGGTCAGCTAGAAAATGTTTGGAGAGAGATTCCCATTTTACTTTAAAGTCAAATCGTTCCACTAATGGTTGGATTTGCCATAGTTTTTTGCCATCCTGAATTTTGTTTATTTGGACAAGATCTTATGGTACTTCATAGCTAATTAGTATAAGACATTGGCTGATGTGACTCCAAGTGATGGATCATCTTTCTCTTGGTCAGGTACCATTAGACCGTCAAATCAAGTGAATCTGAAGCAATTTCCAGTTCATTTTTGTACCTAATGTTGAGCGTCAAATTTGTATTTGAATTCATGAGTTGGTTCTTACCAAGTGGTTATATCTACAAATAACCCAAACAAATATATCCTACAAAAAATAGAACACAATTTGGATTGGAATCGAATTAAAATAATTCAGTTTTTGCCTGTATATGCATAGTCTAGCAGTCTAGTGGTATTGTGGGGCGACGTAACTTTTAGTTTTCATGCGGATGCATGGGATTGGCCATGTAAATTGCCTAATTCTGTTGTTGTTGTGGAAGCTGTTTTGAGGATGGTTTTATTGGAGCTCTCTGTCCGTTATTTAATTATGTAAAGTTTGCTTGAGAGTGGTATCCATTATCTCCTGTCACTTCCTGAAGGTGAGGTGCAGGATACACGTGTTGGTTGGGTCAGGAGTGTTACATACACGCATGCATACATATGCTGCTTGATGGTTTTGGTTTTATTATGCAAATTATGTTTTGGCAGGTGGTTTTTGAAATATTGTTTCTGCATATGTAAATAGTGTTTCTTCTGTGACTTGAACTTTGAGTATCATTCATCTCCATGAGTTATGGATTTCTGAAAATTTATTTATTTATTTATTTATTTTTATCAGAAAGAGGAGAAATTTACAAATTGTATTGAGTTGGCATACCGTATTTGCTTCTTCCTACAAGTCTATTTTCCTTACTGTTGCAAATGTTCTGTTTGTTATATTGAAATATGATCCTGCTTAAATGAAGATGAAGATGTCTTAAATGAAGATGCCTCCCCCTGCATTTTTGGCTCTGTTTGGAAGCAGAGGTCCTATGCCTGTGCAAAGCAATTGATTGAGAATTTGAGAGGCTGATTTGTGGTGAGTGAACTTATCAATCGATCTGGTTGATTTCAAATAGAAACTTTAAGCATATTTTTGCATGCTTTCTTCAACCTTTGCAGCCAAAAGAGAGACCTGTCACAGCTACAAGTTGGATCATCCATGGCTTATCTTTCTGGAAATGAAGGCTAAAAAGGATCCTATCCAGATAATTGATGGCAAGAATAGCGGTAAGAGGTGTGAACCCCGTAATGGGCTTTGACTTTGAAAATCCACTTTACGGCCTCTTCACGAGCCTTCAAATTTGGAGATTTGTTGTGGCTAGGAGCCTAGGCATGGATTGGTCGGATTTGTATTCTGGCAGGTATTCTAAATAAAGTTGATCTCAATTTTGAAAGTAAGGTAAAATTAAAGTTTTGAATACATTGGGGTTGTCCAAAGATCCCGCAAAATTTAAAACCGAAACCAAGTCAGCTTTGGGCATAAGAAAAGTTATAGTTTTGTGTTATAGGGCTTTGTCTTGGTGTCTTGTACCTTAGCCTAATGACAAGGATTTTCTTTTTCGGCAACCTGTAATCCGTCCACTACGGAATACATTGCAAGCAGTGTCAGTGACTCAGTGGAACATGAAAGGGAATGGGAGCGGTATTTTCTCCCATTACTGCTGAAATAGAGCCAATTGAGATTGGAAACAAGAACAAAAACTTATATGACTCTTGTACTCTTTCACGCATTGAGCAGTTCCTTCCCCCCTTGGAGAGCAGAAATCTCAAATCCAACGAAGAATTAATTGGGTCACATTGAATCCTTATGGTGAAAAGTTGAAAACGGCTGAACAGCAGTAGCAGTAGAAGTGAAGGAAATTCTATAGATGTAGATGCAAAGGAGACATTTCATGGAAGTTTGACGAATCACGTTTTGCCAAAATACGAGTCTTCTGACTTCGGGAGAAGTGATGTGATGGAAGAAGATCTCATGGCCATGGAGCCTGGTCTTGTTTACTTCGAGGTAGGATTAGGTGAATTTCTTTGATGAATTACCAAATAATAACCCCCTCAACCCAAAAATGAAGAGTCTGTTTCCAATATTTAAGCTTGAAAATTAATAATTAAAAAAAACAAAACCACACATATGCATATTAAATGAGTAATGCAGGTTGGTTCACAACTTTACCGTTATTTTAGATGCTAGGATGGGGAGTCAAGTCTCTTGGAAACTTTGGCACTGTATTAGGGAATTTGGGGAATGTTGGTGTGTTTGTGTGGGTTTTCCTTTTCCCCTTTTTCCTTCATTGTGAAAGAGACGTCATCCGTTGCCTTGTCTTCTTCTATTTCATCAATGAAAACCATTTTGATTCAGCAAAAAAGCAAAAGAGTTTGTTAAGCTTGCATCACATTTTCTTGATATGTTCTAAATTGGTAACTTTTGCAGTGCCTAGCTTAGCATGATGGGGTTGATGATAACAATTAGAGTTTGCCGAACTTGAAACACATAGCCGAAATTCATACTATAAGATTTCCTAGAGGTTTAGCCATTGCCAGTTTCCACCCTTGACAGGAGTGTCTGATTCAGTTGGTAACAACGCAGAAGTCCTAATAACACTTTGACTCATTAATATTGTAGTGGGGATTTCTTCAAGTAATATATACTCTTCAATTCTTACAGAAATGAAAGGGATTTATTTATAGAAAAAAAAAAAAAAAAAAAAAAAAAAATGAAAGAAAAGAAAAGAGAGAGAAAATGCTGTGAGTAGAAATTGCTTTTGTCTAGTGGTCTAATAGATCTGATGTTACAAAGGATCCCGTGCTTTGTAAAACTTTATTCTTTTTGATTTAATGCTTTATTTGAAAAGAAAATAATAGGCGAGTCCCTAATTAGTATTTAGAGGGTTTAATATTATGGGGTCTAAACTACTTAAGTAACATTTTGGTCTTCTTGCATTCCGTTGTAGAGGACACATTATTTTAGTCTTGTAGATGCTGGTCTTGTTTTTCTTAAGTTATGTGCTATGAGCATATTGTGCATCTTTTACATCTTGTTCATGATTTCCTTTGAAATTTTTTCATTTTAATATGTATATATATAATATATATTTGCTTGCTTGGGCATTTTACGTATTTATTTATTTTTGAGCAAGTCTTGATCAGTTAATTTAGTTAATTTACAATTATGGACAAAACTTCAGGTAATTTATGTCATTGTTATTAATCAGGAGTATAGTGCGGTCTTGGATTTTCTTCTATTTAAGTTTTATTTTAAAAAAATATTAGCAAAAAATTATGGTAACAAACTAAGACATTGAAAGATTAACTCTGAAATATGATAAGAAGTATATAAAAGAAATTTGAGTAGTCATCATAATATTTTCGAAAAATATTATAATGAATTTCATTTAATGGATGATATATTATGATGATAGGATCTCCTTTAGGTAGTCTATGGAGTAACAGATAAATTTTTGTTTTATCATGTTCACCTTGATTTCTTTTCTAATGAATGATTCATTCAGTTTATTTTACAGGATGGATCTTTTTCCAGAGGCCCTGTTGATATTCCGGTTGGTGAGGTTGATGAGCCCAAATATTAATTATGGACAAAACTTTTAAGTTTGAGCAAGTAAAATCTCATGAACTCTTTTAACTTTCTTGTGTAATATTTTCTATTTACTTTTCGTGATTGTATTCAGTGTTGATGTGAGTATTTTAGGTAGGGCCAATTCAAACTGGTTTCTTTTCTTTAATAAACTAGTGTACCATCTGCATGTCTAGCAGTTTAAAGCCCTGTGCCAATTTAGTGGAAAAGTTAAAAGGTCCGATTAACTGCTATAAATATAAAAACGAAAAGAGAACGAAAACGACACAAGTACTCCTATGTATCTTTTGGGGCTGTGAATTGTATTTGTAGAATGAATTTTCTTCTTCTTCTTCTTGTCTATTATTATATATTTCTTCATTTTGTTGGTAGAGTGTGGGAACTACAAATTGATAGAATAAAGACAAATTGTACAGGGGCATATAAAGTTATCAACATGATCTAGGAGGCATATCTATAGTGAAGAAGCGATTGTCACAATAATATTTTCTGAAACTCAAATGAGGATCCAAAATAAAAAAATAAAAAAATTTGCGTCACTGTTTCGGTATGTTCTTTGAGAGCCGGCCATGGCCTGACGCCCGTTACGTTAGAGGGGGGTTTTGGTTTAGCTAAAGACCGAAATGATTGGAACTGTGGGAGCTACTGAAACTTTGCTCTCGACTGAAACTTTGGGCTTGGGAATCCGCCCTTGTTCGGTTAGAAGCTAGAACAGCATGCAGGTCCAGCCAGCACCACCCCTTCCACCACCTCTCGGTAAGGTCGCTCCATTGTGACTTGGAGGTCATGAGTTTGAAACAGAAAACCACCTCTCTACATGTGGAGGTAAGACTCTCCTCAAACTCTGCAGTGGCGGTAGCCTAGTGCACTGTTCTAGTCCTTATTTTGTTATGCTCTTTGTAAAAACTTACAGACAATGGTTATGAAGGAGGTCGGAGTTGGGGTTGGGATTGGGGTTGGGATGCATGTGAGGTGTGTTGTTGGTAGGGGTGGCAACTGGCGGGTACCATGCAGTCGTAGTTGTTGCAGTATTGTGGAGTGGCACCATTGATGAAAGTTTGGTGGTAGTGAATGTTGAATGTGGTGAGGGTGTTGATGGCAGGGATCAAGGAAAAGGTAGAGATAGTGATAGTGGCAGCAGAAGGAAAAACTTAAATGATGGTGATAGGGTAGTGGCAGGACAATTTCGTTTCATTTTATTATTTGGGCCTTTTTCAGCTGAAGTGTCGTATTTCATACATCACATGAAATACTAAGCTGTTGATATCACTTCAGGGAAAGAAGCTTTCTACTTTGTGTTGTCCCGGTCATTTTACTGAGGCCAAAATTAGGTTATTCATCCGGAAAGCCAGAGGCCATAAAGAGGAGGGGGGGATTGAGTTGGGGAAATTAGGAGGAAAGCATCTTTAGAATGCTGCCTCCGTTTTTAGCAGAATATTTTAGTGGGTTCTTCAATTCTTTTTTTAATTTTAATCTCTCCCCCCTCTTAACTAGTTGGATCATAATCAATTGATATAACTATCTTATCTAGAAATAATAAAACAAAAAATCATTATAATTTGTCATATGCCTACCATTTTTGTGTAATTACAACAACTATGGACTCCTCCACTCTCAGTTCACTGTTTCTGCTGCTTCTGCTTCATGTTTGGTATTTTTTTTCCCGGTCATTTATTGTAGGCATAACATTAATTTGGCTTTTCTCGTTTATTTTACTTTTCTTTTTCTCCAAACATTGAGTTGATGTATAGAATTTCCTCCTTTTCAGTTTACTTAATTGTAGTCCATGTGCTGGAAAAAGTTAGTCATATACTCATTTGACCAAAGCAACTGCTCTCCTTATGTGTACCTGTGCACAGAGACCTTAAAGAAGAGAAGGTCACCCGAGAATGCAGTTCATTTTCTCAGAGGAAAAGAATTCAGCCAGCAGAGCTGACCGGATCCCGGAAGGTGTTTGTGGTGAGTGCTTTCCCTATCTACAGTGAGGAGGAGATGGTAACAGAGGAAAGCAACGGCTCCCCTTATGTGTACCTTGAAGAAGAAGTTCACCCGAGAATGCAGTTCATTTTGGAGAGGGAAGCCCCCAATGATGTCCAACCTAGGGGCGGAGCCTACCCCCAAATTTTTTAAAAAAAATTATTAATAATAATAATGTATGGTTATTAATGATTATTAATGGTAATTTTGTAGTGAATATTAAATTTGGTTTCCCAAATATTTTTCAGAATTCTATTTACAGTAATTATTCATGATTATTAATGGTAATTTTGTATAAGAAAATTAAAGTTGACCTCCCAAAATTTTATAAAGTTCTCATTTATAGTTACTTGTCTATGGAAATTAAAGATAGTTTGCGAAATAAATTATTTATAACTCTTTTGAACCTATCTTGCCTTTAAAAATTCAAACTTAATAATATTAGTGTTTATTATTTTACAAGTCTTGCTAAAATGTGTTAGTACTATATACATATATATATAGCATATAAATTATTTGTTATGATTTAAAGAGAGACAAAAGAAAAATATATATATACTGGACAATGACAATTTTATTAATGGACTGAAAAAAAAAAATTTATAATTATTTTATTTTTTTATTAAATTTAACTTTATATCACCATTTAGCCTCAATTTAAAATTTCTGACTCCACCGTAGTGTGATTGCTAGTCACTTTTCAAGGAACCCTTCCACTGGCTTACCAGAATCAATTTTATTTATTTTTTTAATCTTTTGTCGTTTTTTCTTGTTATTAGAATATACATTTGAACAAGACTCCTCTCCACATTGATCGGATAATATTATGTGTGTATTTTGAATTTAAAACTTGTAAAGAGAAAAAACAAAAATCTTTAACTCACTTTCTTATATTTAAAATTTAAAACAAACACACGGCATTCTATCACATTGATATTGAGAGTATTGTTTTGTACATATTTGTGTGTGTATGTGTATTTCTCAGTCCTTGTTAAATTACAATACCTCCATGTCTTCCGTGAGAATATATATATATATATATATATATACACTTATATTTTTGTGCATATTACACAATAAATTACAGTATGGTTAAGTGCTATACTTCACGAAAGAATTTTCATGATTTTATCACAATTGAGGTGGATTTTTATTTTTAGAAAGTTAAGTCAAATAATTAAGTCAAGTAATAAGAAAGGGACTATTTATTTTGGGGTAGAATTAATCAAAGAAAGAAAAAGAATTGGCTCAGAAAACCAATCTTACAAGTTGTATTCTCTATTTGATTTTATCAGTTAATACTAAAGTGGAGAAAGTAATTTTTGTCTATAATGGAGAAACTAAAGAAAGTATCAAATTGTCACTTTCTCTTTTCTTCGTTAAAAGAGTAAGTACTTTTTTGAAGTCAAAAAGTGAAATTACTTAATTGAACATGATTTTTACTTTTGATTCCTTATTTTAGAAATTAACAATAGAATACAGGAATCAATAGCATTGAACTAGCATGAATAAACTTCCTTATTTTAGAAATTAACAATAGAATACAGGAATTAATAGCATTGAACTAGCATGAATAAACAAGTTTAAATGAAGGAGAAGGAGATATGGTAAAGACGAGTATTAATCATCGTTTCTTGCTAGGAGAATTCTGCACGATGAGAGTATGATTGATGAGATGCTCTCTCGTACGAGTCCATAGGCAACTCACAGTACAAGTGAAGACCCTTTGCCCTCGTTATTCTGGAGAATGAGAGTGGGGCTGTCAACGCTTTCAAAACATGAAACTTGGTTGAGGAAAATTATAAATGTGTTTATAAAAATGTTTTCAATCACAATCTAAGTTTTTGTATTCATTATTTTGATAAAATAAATTTACTTGAAATTGTTCAATGTCACTCCCGCTAAATTCAATTCTAGGACTTCAGTTTCTGGACTTGTGTCTATGGTTAATACTGGAGTTTGGACTATGGAGGCCTGATTTTGTTTCTTCAGGAATGAATGTATTATTAATAGCTTATATATCTCATTGGATGAAAACTTATAATGCCTTAATTGAGCATTTAGAGAACTATGCCCAAAAAATTATGTTCAAAGGCATCCATGAGAGGAGCCTGAGCACCTTTTTATGGGAACTAATCTACATTGGTCCGCTATGTATGTTTATGTAGATATGTGTTCACGGTTTTCAAAACACATCTACACAATTAAAGAAGTCCTTGCCAACAGCCTCTCTCCCAGGCCACATAGGACTTCACGCGAGCACAAGCTTGGCTTGTCTGTGAGGATAATGAGCATAATTCAAGTTGTGTGCTGCTTTCCTATTTTCAAATAGTAGTCATGAAATGCAACTGGCACATGAATCAAGCTTGCTATATATCACATGAGAAAAGTAGCACAAAAGTATTTCATTTAACAAAAGTAAAAACAAAAACATATCCCACAAAGAAGAGAAGGAAGGGCAGATAAGATTACGGATAGAGCAATCAAGAAGGAAGTCATCATCAACAGAGCATCAGCATCACTTCAATGGATTCAGTTAAAGTCTGAGGCACGAAGGAAGTCATCATCAACAGAACATCAGCATCACTTCAATGGATTCCGTTAAAGTATGAGGCAGCCTTTCCTTTTTTTCTTCTGTTTCTTCAGCTTTGGAGGCTGGAGAACCACCTTGATTGCAGCATCAAACACAGCCTTAACATTCTGCATTTCAAATTGAGTTACTTTAATTGGCTGTAATTCAAAATACATGAAAGGATGGCTTATAGTGGCTCCTATCCTATGATTTTTTAGTGATCTGGACAGTGCTTTTACTACTTAAACTGAATACAACAATATATATATATGCAAATGTTTAAATTTCAAAGATTCTCTTGTTGAAACTGATGGTTTAATTCTTAAATGCAAAAATATGTATATATTGCAAAGGATATATTGATTTTTTCAGAGTCTAGATTCATTTATACTGCCTTTCATATTTGTGACCTTTTAACTAATCGTCAGCTAGCTCCTGTCTTCTGTTCGAATTTGTCGGGTTCAAGCAAAGGGTGCAACTGAAAACTACTTTGAGAGTCTTTTAACTTTAGTTTCTTGGTCATGTTTTAGTTTGACAATTTCAATGCACATTATTCGATGAAGGGTTTCTCAAACAAAGCGAGCATTGCCCCCATCAAGAGTCATTTGCTTCATTGATGTTGCCACAAATTAGAGACTATATGATGCTCATAACACATAATGGACCTAAAAAGCACAGCCCAGAAGTTACTTGGCAACATTCAATGTTTTAATTGGCCTCCTCATGTTAATAGAAATTACGTAAATAGTGAACTACTTCAACAGGAATCTTTTTAAGTTTCTGAGAATATATGCATTTGTGAGACAACCTGTCGTGTCTTGGAGCTGCATTCAATATATGCCACTGCTCCTATTTGCTTCTTTAGTTCTTCACCCTGTAATCAGTAATTTAGGGGGAAAAAAAGTTAAAAATCCTGAATTTTTGCAGTGCTTCAAGTGAACTTTTCATGTAGTCGTTTTAGCACCAAAGAAAGATGTATAACCAATGGAGTAAATTGGTTTTGCTATATGGTCTAGATCAGAATCAACATATTTATTGACAGGGCATGGTGTGTAAGATCTCAATTTTTCTTTCTTTTCCTTAGGTTTGAACAATCCAATTGCCATTACACAATTTCTAATAGCTTCTAGCTTTTCAACCTGGCAGAGATAAGAGGTGGTTCAGAGTAGATTGTGATTTAATTCTTGATTATTTTTGTTCATACCTTCGGTTACCACAAAAACAGAATGAGATTAAAGCAAAATTTCAGTTTTTTAACTACTCTTCCCACCCGCAAAGTTACCCTTTCTTCCTTTTTTAGGTAAAATGTGAGTATGCGAGGGGGCATTCATATAGTAACATGCTTTGCACAGTCAAATTCCAGTTGATATGTTGGTTCCATTTCGTATAGCCCCAGTGAAGTAAAAATACAACATTAAAGTACTCGACTGTTCTTAGAAGAGAAAATGGGATCAGTATACAATACATACCTGTTGAGTGGAAATAGTAAATGCCCCTGGATAATCCATTTGGAACTGCTTATCTTCTCTCAAATCTGCAAAAAGAACGAACTTTGTTGGACACAAAAAGGTAATAGAGAGAGAGAGGGGAAGAGGAGCAAAGGGCTTAGAATCAGCCTCCACTTAACATTTGTAATTACTAGTGATTATTAAACCTATCATTTAGTAATAGCTAGTTTGCGCCCTACTTCAGTTCATATGAATGTACACAATAAGGACTACAACTCAATTCAAAAGCCTTGATCCCAACAATTAGGGGTTAATTTTATGTACATATGTACAATAATACATGAAGCATGAATATATATATACACACATTTACAAATATGTATTTTATGTATGTATGTGCCCACATATATGTAAATATTGCATGCAGGAATCTTTTTCTTCCCATAATTATTGCAATGCAGAATCACTGAAGTTGACAAGCACTACTTTCAAAATCTTTTCCTTAAATTTGAAAAAAAAAAATGATTGCTATTCAAAAAGGAGAAAGAAAATTTTACCACACCTCGCCTTTTAGTTCTTTTCAGAAAAATGCACTACATTTTTGAAAGCATTTTTGAAAACGTCATTGAAAAGCAAAGGCACATTTTCAGCAATAACAATTTACAGAGGTAACAAAATTGTGCATGAAGAAAGAATACTGACCTAGTTTGGTCCCCACCAGCACAATGGACACTGATGGAGCATAATGCCTTAACTCTGGGACCCACTTCTCCAACATAAAAAGGAGCAGAAAGAAAATTAAAGAAGACACAAAGATATGATTAGAAATGTGAATAAGTGTACTGGACTATATAATGAAAGAATAAACCATAAGATGGATTAAATTGATAGATAAAAGAAAAAGAAGTTACTTTTTTCATTATGTTCTCAAAGCTAGGCCTACTTATGAGAGAGAAGGCAAGGATGAAAACATCAGCTCCTCTATAACTAAGAGGCCTCAGCCTGTTATAGTCTTCCTGACCTGTGTCAATAATTGAAAATTTGAAAAATAACTTGACAATCACTTTATTAACATCATCTAGAAGACTTGACAACTTGACCAATAACTCTTTACTCCAAGAATGATGGCTTTTCATTTCTTTAGCTTTTTTCTTTAAAACAGGGGAATAGTTTTATACAACATTGAAGGCGGGCATTGACGCAATGATAAGGTTGCTCCTTATGATCTAGAAGTCATACGTCCGAAACAGCAAACAACGTGTAGAGGTAAGGCTGCATAAATTTGACCCTCCCATACCCCAATGACCATTGTCATTCCTAGTGTTGGATAAATGTGTATAATGCATATATTGATGATCAATTGATAATAAGACTACACTAACTGCAAAGATGGGGATAAATAACTCCACAAGTAATACCCTTCAATAATTTTGAAAAGAGGAAGATAACGACGTTGCTTACCGGGCTTTGACCAATTTATTTCAAGTTTCAAATGACCATCAAAATCCAGCTAGAGAGCATAAAAGACTTGTATGCTTTGTTTGGTTGAAGAAAAGTCAGAAAGAAAAGTTGAAAATAGGATGCACCAATGCGATTTTCAAATTGAAGCAGCAATAGTCCACTAATTTCTCTTAGATGAAAAGAGAAAATAGGAATGTCACATGGAAAAACCAGACTTTTCCCAAAAAAAAACAATGTTTTACTAGTTTCAGCAAACCCTTACTCAACATTTGAATTCAACCACAAAATCTTTCATATCCATTCATCATTTATCAACATAATTGAGAAATAGCTAAAGCCTAATGTGACACCCTTGAACAATCAAAAGAGACAGCAATTTGTGAAGGATCAAATATCTAAAAGCGCGCACGCACACACGTGTATGTGTATGTAGAGGGAGGATGGGAATCAGGAATCATACCAGCAGTATCCCAGAGAGCCAGATTCACAGTCTGCCCATCAGCCTTCACATTGGCATTGAAGTTATCAAAAACAGTTGGAACATAATCCTGAAAAACAAAAGGGATATACCTATAAGAAATCAAAAGCACTACTTCACAGGAAAAAAAAAAAAAACACACACACACACACACTAAACACATAGAGTTGGATAAAAAATAAAAACGTTTTGAAGGAAGATAAATACAGTTGGAACATAAACCCAAAGAAAAAAAAGGATATAACTATAAGAAATCAAAAGCACTTCACAGGGGGAAAATTAATATCACACACAAACACACACACCAAACACATAGAGTTGGATAAAAGTAGAAAATAAAATAAAAAATTGAAAGAAGGAAGAAAGATAAATACAGTTGGAAATGTGTTGCTGGTGTATGAGATAAGAAGGCAAGTCTTCCCAACAGCTCCATCTCCAACAGTTACACATTTAATGAACTTTGTTGTGGTAGCCATCTCATCATATACCCTAACAAACACCACCCAAATGCAGTACCAAAAAGCAAGAACACCCACTAATGAACTTTATCAATTGAGACTTGGGTTGCTATTAATTTTGTACGAAGTTGCATAAATGGAGAGAAAATCAAAAACCCTTTTGTGAGAACTCTGTGTTTCTCTATGTGTCAATTTTTATTTATTTATTTTTTTATATAAGGAGAGTGGAGGAAGAGAGCAAGAAAAGTAACAAAATTTGTAGAGCTTATCTGGGTTAGGAAAGTTGTTGTAGGTTCCTTTATTTTGAGTTGTCAGAGAGGCAAAAGGAGGAAACAAAAGGCAGCCCCAAAAAGGTAGAGGTTAATTCCATGCGCGTAGCGTGCACGCGTTATAACATGGGCTCCAATATTGGAACATGCTTGTGGGGGATATGATATGTTCCATGACAAGGACTCCCCCCAATCCAGTTTGTCCCATGACATGGCTGCAAACAAGCAAAGTTGAGTTTCAAAATTTTAAATTGAGTTTTGATTCGAACTCATACAATAATATTCATGTTCGATTTGGTGAATATTTATCAACAAACATGTTTCCGAGTCTAACAAGTCAAACCATAAATGATTAAGGCTCAACTTATTTATTAAACAAGTTAAAATAAATATGTACGAACTACTTAATCTGATATATTTTTTCTTCCTTATATAGTTTTTAAATTTTCCTTGATAGCACTCCGCTGGAAAAAGAAATAAGAAAGGATTTTATTCTATGCTGCCTTATTAGTCCTGAATGAATGTTACTTCTGTATAGAAGTCCATAAATAGAAGATTTAGCGAATTAAAATTTTAAATACAAAAAAATCAAAAGTAAAGATCTTTAAAAATTTCCATAGGATTGAAAAGAAAAGTGTGATTTGTGGGTAATTTTCACTTTTAAAAAAAAAAAAAAAAATGAAAAAAAAATTCGACAATCCATCAAGATGGCAATGCAACGGAGTAAAGAGTGTTTTACTAAACCTTACTTCGCTTCGTTAGAAAATTCATCACACCAATTATGCTCCTATTCCGGAACGAATTTATAATTGGTATACCATCTTCGCCCATACTTTTGTAGATAAAAAATAAAGGGTTAATTACAATCACACCCTCTCAGGTTTGCCATATTGACAGTCATATATAACTTAGCCATTTTTTGAACAAAGACACCCCATAGGTTTACAAACTTGAGCAATGACATCCAAAAAATGATGAAAGTACATGTTTACCCTTTGACCATGTAAAATGACCAAATTACCCTCATCCAAAATATCCTTTCTTCTTCTAATTTTTAGATCTTCCCATTCATTCTGTGAGCCCTTCTTCCCGGCCGTCCATCAAGCCGCCACGAGCCCATCACCGTCCCGTCGTCGCCCTCATCCGAGCCATCCGTAGCCGCAGTCCATCAAGCCGCCACAGGCCCACAGCCGAGCCCATCACCGTCCCGCCGTCGCCCTTATCCGAGCCATGCATAATCGCAGTCCATTCCTCCATCGTCTGCTCACTGCCATCGCCACCGCCGCTGAGCTGAACCAACCTCGCTCACCTCATCCGAGCTTTGCCACCACTGAGTCCAACTTTGACGAGTCAGCGCCCGTCACCGCCGCTGTCAGTCAACCGCGCCCGTCATCACCGTTCTGAAGTTAACCGAGCCAACTGTTACCGATTTTATCCAGCCAAGCTATCCACCGGCGTTCAGTGTTAACAGCCCGTCACCTACAACCGAGGCCGTCTTCCCGTAGCCCACAGCCAAGGCCATCTTAAACACAGCTGAGCCCTCACAGGCCGCCGCGAGTCCTCCGCGACTTAGCCATCCACAGTCAAGCTCTCCACCGGCTGAGCACTCCATTTTGCTCGCCGACGGTCATCCTAAAAGTGCTTTCCTAATTGAGATAGTCACCCATCACACGAATCTAAAACCCAACTCCACGACACTCGATGACGGCGGGCGGCTCAACTGGTGGAGGGCTCAGCCATGAGAGGAACTACGACATGGAATTGGCGGGCAAGAATTGAGATTGGGGGTTTGAGATATACTCTGTGTGTGTGTGTGTGTGTTAGATAGAGAGAAATTTGGGTTTGATTTATGGATTCGGAGGGTGTGGGAGAAGAGGAGGAACTGGGTTGAGAGAGAGAAAAAGATAAGATGATGAGATGAGATGAGATGATGAGATGTTGAAAGAGAGAGATGAGATGCGAGGGTAGTTTGGTCATTTTAGGTGAGGATTAAAATATATCTTAGGGCATATTAGACATTTCATATCACTTAAGGCTGTGTTTGGCTCCGTTTTTTTAAAATGGGGTGTCATTGTTCAAGTTTGTAAACTTAGGGGGTGTCTTTGTCTAAAAAATGACTAAATTGTATATGGCTGTCAATATAGCAAACCTCAGGGGGTGTCGTTGTAATTAACCCAAAAATAAAATAAATAAACTAGCTCAATGTCATTTTTAATTGCAGGATGGAGCGAGTTAAAAATAATAATAATAAAAAAAAGCCAACAACAACCTAGCCCAATGTGTTCAAATTGAGATAATTGCCCCAACTTTTAAATTATTAAGTATGAGTATTAATATTAGTAGTGTTCAACTACTCCCTAGTGAGCAGAAAAGAGTATAATCACTTTTAATTATAGCCTTGGGATTAAATCCGATGGCAATGAGTTAATTAGCCCTTTTTTTTTTTTCTCTATTTTAAGAAACTTACTTATTCTTTTCATTATCATTAAATATAATTAAAATAAAATGACGAAACTAGACCCTTTACTAAATAAAAATAAAGAAAAGAAAGAAAGAATTTGACTACTCGTTTGCCTGTTTTTTTTTTTTTTGTCATCTCCATTATCACGAGAAGGAATACGGAGCAAATTTTATACAGGAGAAACGTTATGAAAAGACATGACAGCAATTGGTTCTGCATCCATCCAATTGCTAAAGTTATGTGGGGCTGGTGTTCTTCCTCGATAATTTTTATATTTTCATCTTGTATTAATAAAAAAAATTTAAACTACCCCACACTTGCCCTCGCCTAATTCTTTTTATGCTTTCATTTTGTATGTATTAAAATTATGAAATTTCTCGTTGTTTATGATTTCTAAAATTTTTATCAGCCTATCTTTTCAGTAACATTCTTTTGTCATGTTCTTTTCTTCTTCTTCTTCTTCTTCTTCTTCTTTTTTACCCTGTTTCTTCTATACAAATTTTCTATATAAATTTTTAATGAAATCTTAACTCATCTGCCAAATCCTTTGATTTGAGTAATTGAGGGACTGAGTTGCAAATTCTTTCATATTTGTTTCCTTTAATGAATGATGTAGTTTTGTCATTTTATTTTAATTATGTTTAATGGTAATAAAAAATAATGGTCTCTTTCATATTTGTTTCCTTTAATGAATGATGTAGTTTTGTCATTTTATTTTAATTATGTTTAATGGTAATAAAAAATAATGGTAAGTTTCTTCGTAGGAAAAGAATGATTGATTTTCTTAAGTTTGATCCAAAAGCTATAATTAAAAGTAAATATATTTTTTCATATTTTAATTTAAAAAGACCATATATAATAATTAATTGGGCGGGACGAATTCATTGCTAAAACCACCTCTGTCCCGATTCGTTTAGAGTTTTCAATTATTTTATCATTCCACTATCAAATCGATCCCATTAAAAACGGGCGGGTGAAGATCTAACGGATCGAAATAAATTGCCATCCCCACGTCAAGTCATGAGAAAACCCGAAATCCAAATAACGACGGTCCAACATAACCCATTTACTTCCCGGAAGAAAAGAGAGAGAGAGGAGAAAGAAATGGCGTCTCCGAATACTCAATCACCGCCTTATCCCAGTGCCGCCAGGATCGCCGATTCTCCGTGCTACGTTCAATATACTGCTTCTCTCAAATGTACTCTTTCTCTCTCTCTCTCTCTCTCTCTCTCTCTATATATACATATAATAATATCGTAACCAGCTTTGACCATTTTTCTATTTTTTATGCATAACCCTGGAAAATCCTAATTTGAAATGAAATTTGTATTATTGCGACATTTCTTGTGTGAGATTGTTTCTTCATGTAATATGTTACTCTTCTCATGTGTTGTCTTAAGTGATTCTCGTGTAGCATTCGATCAGATTGTTTGATTTAATTCATTTTGTTTTTTAAGTTTTTTTTTCTCTCTTTAATATCGTGATCCAAAAAATAGTTCAATTTATTTTTATGTATATTTTTCATAGATGCATGTCTGAAATCGATTTGCTGAGTTGTGTTTGTAAAATTTATAACTGCAAATGCTTGAAATTTCGAAAATATCTTAAATGTTTTGTTTTGGGGTCCGCATAAAATTTGAAATTGTGAACGGTGCATTTGGATGCTTCCTTGAAGTTGAATTGTCCTGTTGCAATTTCTTCATTGTTAGTTGGGGAAAAAGCTTTTTGGGCGAAAATATTATTTCACAAACAGAGTAACAAGTTTCTAACACATTCATACCTAATGAAATTGGACAAAATGGTGTTAAATTTATCATATTTCTTGGTATGGAATTATTGTAACCTTTTTCTAGGCCTGAAAAAGGAAAAATAAAACATTTTTGACATAGTTTATGGATGGCTTCTATTCTGTCTAATAGCTCCATTTAAGATGGTAGATTTATTTTATAAAATTCAATGTAAAACATCAATGGGGGACACAAATTTATTTCACAAAGCTTTTTTTTTTTTTTTTTTTTTCTGATGCTTGTTGTAATCAAGCTTGGTAGATCATCCTATCTCACTAAAAGTATGTTGTTCAGTTATTAGACATAGTCTTCTATCATCTAGAATGTTTTAAGGGTGTTATATTATTGGAGTTCATCTATGGAAGTTATGATAGGTGATTATTTATGATACGGCTCCAATTTATTTATTTTTTAAATTAGTATTATTATTTTTTATATGATAAAATGGCCCCTACTTTATAATAAGGGTAATAGATTATTTTGCGTTTTGGTTTCATTAGGTCGGCAAATAAGCCCATGTTGTGCTTGGAATAAGACTGGAGGGGAAAATACAAATGTTTTTAATGGGGAGACAACTCCCTTCCCCCTCTCCCCCCCCTCTCTCTCAATTGATCTCCTTCTTCTTCCTTTTTTATTTTATTTTTATTATTTTATTATTTTTAATGTTTTTGAGTGATCATATCCGCATTACATTAAATTATTTCTATACCTTTGTGAATTAAGACCGCTTTCTTCTTTATGTAAGAGCTATAAAGGATTCATTGAATCAACAGAATGGTGATGAATAAGACCCTTGTGATGACCCTGTGGGCGGGTGTGCCGTGGGCGGGTGCGAGAGACACTGTCAGGCTACCACACTGGCGAGCTACGGGTGCACAGTCCCACATCACCTGGGTAGAGGAAAGGTGAAGTACTTATATGTAAGTGTGTCACCTCCAAATGGTATGAGGCCTTTTGGGGTGAAGCCCAAGAGCAAAACCGTGCGGGCTCAGGCCCAAAGCGGACAATATCATACCATGTGGTGGAGTGGGTTGTTACAAATGGTATCAGAGCCTGACCCAGCCGGAAGTGTGGCCAACGAGGACGTTGGGCCCCAAAGACTGTCAGGCTACCACACTGGCGAGCTACGGGTGCACAGTCCCACATCGCCTGGGTAGAGGAAAGGTGAAGTACTTATATGTAAGTGTGTCACCTCCAAATGGTATGAGGCCTTTTGGGGTGAAGCCCAAGAGCAAAACCGTGCGGGCTCAGGCCCAAAGCGGACAATATCATACCATGTGGTGGAGTGGGTTGTTACAACCCTCATCATCATGTTTTTTTGTTAAATATATCCTTACTATCCTAGAGCATTGAAGTTTTGATTCTGTGATCAGTGGCTTTTCACTCACATAGTTTACTCCAATTGTAGCTTGCAGTGGTCAACTTTTCAGTGACTTTTCAGCATGTGTGTTTTTTTTTGGTTAAAAGTAGGCTAACTATGTCATGGTTTTGATGTTAGATCTCTTAAACTAATGTTTGTAGCTGTCTCTAATGCTCTGTTTGCTAGTAGAGAATAGTGGTTGAAAGGGGCGGGACAGAGGGAATGTGAGGGATGAATATGTTTTTTGTACTTTGGCAGAAGAGAGAGGACAAGGGAAAGGGAAAGGGAAAGAAAGATGGGGCTGGGCCTCTCCAGGCTCACCATATTCTTTCCTCCCAAAAGTGGGAGGAAAAGAGGAGGAGGAGGGCTTTTTTCTCTTTCAACGTTTTGCCCTTCCAAGAATGGTAAATTCTTTATTTTGTTTGGTATAATGATAAAATTGGTAACATCGTTTTGTTGCCTCTCTCCTTTTGTTCCTGTTAATCCAAAGAAAAAGAAGGAAAGTCCCGTTCATTTCCCCAGGGATGTCTTTTCCATATATTTTACCTTTGTTCCTTTTGATTTGCTCATAAGCAATTAAATATTGCCTAACTAGTGTGAGTGTTAAGAGTAGGTGGGTTGAATTTTTGTGTAGAAAGAAGTTGAAATATATGGGTTGAAACACTTCTGTACAGTGGAGGAATATGTTGATGTGTCATACCTCACTAAAGAAAAGATTCACACATCTTGATCTAAGAATAATGTACACAACTATTCAAGGGTTCATCGGTCATCACACTCAAAAGAGGATGTAATCACAAAATCATTAGTAATATGCTTCAAAGATGTCTTTATTCCTTCATTTTCAAAATACTGCTACTGTATATGGAGGTGTTAAGCTTAAAAGTTAAGGAATCTTGGGCTCAAGTAAGCTTGGAAGGCAACTTTTTTCCTAAGCCAGGTTGAGGTATGACTTCCAATAAAAGCTCAGTAGGTCTGTCTAAACTGATCCAAAGACTAGAAATGCAGTAGGAAACTTAATGCAGTGAAATTTCGCAATGAGTCCTGCCAAGATTCCATGTTACTCTCTTTTGTGTGTGGTCCTTCTTGTGCATTTAAAGATGTAATTTGTTTCCCTTAGTATGGTATACGACCCTCTTTTTTACTTACACTGTTGCACAAACCTAATGCCATCATCTCAAAACATGTTACCGGACAATTAATTTTTTAATTCCAATGTTCCTCCTTCCATAAGCCTGCTACTAGAAAAACATGTTATTTAGTTGCGAACTTTTGTCTACTACACACTTCTCGACATGTCCGCAAAATTCAGTGCTTTATTTAGCCATGAACTTTATTCCTTGTATTCTGTACAAATGTGTCCGTGATAGAATTGTTCATGGGCTTTCTAGGGAATTGCTATCTTAGCTTATATGTTCATAAGGGACGCAATGGGATTGGTAAGGGACGTGTGGTAGCCCCTCTCTAGCTCCGCCACATGGGGGAAAAATTCATCCTAAACCACCAGAACCTCGAGTTGTGGCTTATCAATATGAGAAAAGGAACTTAGCCAGGTCGAAACTCAGTATGGCAGAAAGATCAAGCCTTCTGAGCATTTTCCACATGGATTCATGGTGAGCAAATGGAATGGAAGCGAAAAGTCTGATAATAAAGCTCATCACTGGACAAATCCACATAGAAAACTGTAAAAAGTCTGATAATAAGGCTCAATCACTAAACAAATCCACATAGAAAACTGTTTTAACTTTTAAGTGCTATAGTTTAAAAAAAGAAAGACAAAAAAAAAAAGAGGAGAGAAATATAAAGACGAGAACAAGTGGGAGGAGAGGCAGGTTCTTTGAAACCTAATTGGAGGCATATTGTGGTGGATTGAGGCTGGGCAGGGTGGAATACAAAGTGATTCCGCCTCAGGCCAGACTCAAGTTTTTTTAATATTCTCCCAAACCTGCCCCTACCCCCAAATACATGATGCTTAAACCTGTCCAGATTGAGTCAGGTTTCCTGATCGACGACCCCTTTTCCATCATTATAGTTGCAGCTATTTTTTTGAAATTTATCATTAATATATAGAATTACAGTTTAAGGCTCTACACAGCTTGTATGTCAATTTGAAGGATGGCTAGTATCTATGCCTTTATTCCTTTTGGAGTTGACCCTTTTGTTTACCCGTTATTGAGAAATGTGATCCCCCTTTTCCCCGTAAAACATTGGTAGAAATATTAATTTTGTATGAAAACTTTGCAGGTTTAGAAGAATTTAACTCAGACAAGAGTAAATGCCAAGAACAATTTGATGTTTACAAGGAATGCAAGAAAAAGGAGGTATAAAATTCATTGTTTCTCTCTCTCTCTTGTATGCTGCAGATTTCATAGTCCCAATTTCAACACAAAACATTTTAATTGCATGTTTGTAATGTTCTTGCCCGTTGAAATATTTATGCATAGAATTAGAATTTACATGGGATGTAGATTGAGGGAAAGTATAAGTGGAAAGCCAATGAAGCTTTCTGATTCAAAATTTGTTTTGTTAATATTTGATTATATAATTTTAGAAAATTAATTCCACCATGAAAAAAGAAGAGCATTTTTAATAATCTTAAATTTTGACTTATACCGAGAGTCAAGTGTTACCAAGATTGGGCCATTATTTGAACGTTGTGAAATGCTACATTAGTGTCTTTTCCCTCTGCAGATAGCTTAAAACTCACTCTTAAAATCTTGATTTATTCTTGCATTTATTCCTTCTTTCTACTTCCTCAAAGAAGCTTAAGCACCCCGGTGTGCACGTGGGCATTGTATGCTAAAAAATGAAGTTTCGGAAAAATTCTTTTGCAACAAATGTGGTATGATTTGTTTGGTAGATCACATCATATAGCGTCTGCTGATTGTTTGGGAATCTCTAGTCCACAACTATGACATATTACATATTGGACCATGGTTCTATAAATTGTTGGCAAACATATGGGACCAAATTGAATCTCTCTCTCTCCGCGCAATGGTATCACTTCTTACAAAAGAACATTGCACCACCTGTAGACTGGAGGTGGAAAACAGCTCAAAATGTGCCTAATGCTACTTTGCAATTTTATATTTTTCTTTTCTGTCTTCTCTTTAGCAATCTCGAAACCTTAATTTAAAGATTGGGAGTTAAAGATCCGAAATCACTAGGATAAAGGTAGACTAGTTAATGCTACTTTGCAATTACCATGTTTTGTTGAAAGAATCATATATCTGTGTGTTCGGATGAATTGGTTCACCAAAACTTAGCATGTAATATGAGATCATACTTCATAGATTATTGCAAATGGGCAACTTTTAGTTCACCTCCTTTGTTGGTTTAAGGTAAAATCGTTGGAATGGGATTAGATGATTCTTTTTCTTGCTTAGACTATGCTACCTACTACAGATCTGTATTGAACGATGTTTAATTTTTTTGTTGACAGAGGGAAGCTCGGTTGGAGCGCAACAAGAATAGGTCATTATTCTCATGAATTTCTTCTCTTCAAGAAATTTTTACCATTCCTACGAGTGGAAAGTTCGATGAAGTGTGTTACAGGGAGTGCCGATCCCTAGTCATGTTGCATAATTTTTTTTTTCTTTTTCCTAAACTCTGACATGAATTAGAGAACTTGCTGTGTTAGAACATAGAAAAGGTCAATAAATTTAGTAATGTTCTTGCAGCAAATGAGATGTACTGTATTCTTCCTTGAAGCTATATTACAAGGTCGACTTTGTCTTTGCTTTTTACATATTCGGACTGTTTTTGCAACAAATGCCATGCATTGCACTCTTCGAAGCTATATACGGTAAGGTTTTTTCATTGTGACATAAAAGTCAGTAAAGTTTTTTCATTGCGACTTAAAATCTCTCGTCTTTATGCATGTGGAGCTTACATCGCTTATGTAAGATGTGAGTGGTTTAAAATGAAAATAGGTTGTGTGTGTGGAGATTGAGTTGTTTACATCTAATTAGTCTGTTATTTTGTACAATTGGAAATAAAAGCAAATTTTAAAAAAGAAAAAACAAAAAATGACACAAAGTATCCAGGTCTTTAAACAAAACATGTCATTTCATGTTGCTTCTGAGTAACTTCCTAAAAAAAAAAAAAAAAACGCATGTCAATTCATTTAGTTCTATAAGGTGGTCCTTACAATTCTAGTCTTTATCAAACATAAATGTGATTCCACCTCATGAAACACATTGATGAGATATTTTCTTGTAACTCTCATCTTTATACTTCAATTCTTGTTTTGAGTTTGAAAAACAAAACTCACATTGTTTTCTGCTCACGCCTTTGCATAACATATTACTTTAAAATAATATTTATCAACATATAAAATACTTTTTGAAATAATTATGGAGCATTGGAATGTTTTAAAATATAATTATATTGTTCTTTTTTAAAAACTATAAAAATAAATTGCAAATAAAATTTTTAAAAAATTAGAAAATTAAAAACGAACCATGTAAAATTCTTTAGATTTGTGAGGGCGCTTCGTAGGAAATGATTCGAATGATGGGATTTATGGGTCAATGTATATAACTATGTGTGTGTGTGTGTGTATATATATATATATAACATATGAACCAATTTACAGCTAGTCAGCTACCAACAATTATTGACTACGGAGTATAATGTAACCTTAGCCCAATAAATCATAGAGAATATCTACATGCATTCAAATAATAATAGTCCAATAATTGTAAACACAGTGACAATGTTATGATTATTAATAACATTAATTAAAATACTGCATATGAATATGGGTTCATATATATTATTTTAATATTTTTGGATATTTATATCGTATTTTTATCATAGGAGAGAGGAGAGAGGAGAGAGGAGAGAGAAAATAATTAAAACTCAATAAGAAGAAAACAAGAGAGAGGAGAGAGAGAGGCTCAGTGGAGCTAGCGGTTCCCTCTCTCCCTATGTAGTCGAAACCCTAGTTTTTACCGTCTATCTGCATCTCTTTGATCTATGAATTCTTCATTTCCATCTCTCCCCTATCCAGTATCGCTGAAAATTTAGCGTTGTCACTGTTTCTATTCATATGATGTTCATTGACAGGTTTTGAAATCTCCAATAAGAGCTCTTGTAATCGAATTTGAAGAGAGTGGTGTGTGTATATATAGGATATGTATAGAGATCGAGGTGGTGGATCGTCCAAGTCTGAGCTTGTCGGTGGACCGTTGGATCGGAAGCGAATCAACGATGCGTTAGATAAGCACCTGGAGAAGTCGTCGCCGTCGACGTCGAGGGGTTTGAACGGCAAGGACAAGGAAAGACTATCTATACCGTCTACTTCAGCCGCTGTTGGTGGTGGAAAATCGCAGCAGCTCGATCATCGGTCATCGTCGGCTCTTGCCGCCAAGGACAAATGCTCAGATGGTTAGTTTTGTTTTCTGAGTTTTGAGCTAAGCAGATTTATTTGTGGCCTAAAATTAATTTCTTTTACTTCCCGAAAAAAAAATAATAATTTTTTTTTCCTGGGTTTGATAGTGACTATGATGAAATGTTATTTATTATTAGTATTATTTTTTAAATTTTTTCATATACATAATCTTTGGTTATTTTTATTTTATGTTATTTTTTGGTTAGTTATTATGGGTGCTTTTAAAATTTGAAGCCTAATGATGGTATTTTGTATTTGGTTTTTTTTTTTTTTTTTTTTTTATTATTTTTTTTCACCCTGTAAATTGATGGTCTGTTGTTCTGAGCCCTGTTAAATGTGGGGAATAAATGGATATTTAATATATAGAGTATTATGCTTGTTTGTAATTGCTCATGCTCGTTATGATTAGTTCTTTTAACCATCCACCTATAGGTTCATTTTGCACCGCGGTGAACTTCTAGTTGCAAGTAAAAATGCTGGTTGAATATATAAACTGCTTGAGATCATGAAGGATATAGTCGTTTGCTTTTTATGGGCGGATAAGAATAAAACCAGTGGTGCTTTGCTATTAACGTATTACTAGTGAGAAAATGAGAGAAGTGTGGGGGATTTAGCAGAGAATATATTATGGGGTTGTGAAGAGGTGTGTGGTAGCGCATAGGCACGATGAACAATCACGATGGGGGATTTGGGAAGGAATTTAATGAGAGAAGTGTGGGGGGTTTAGCAGAGAATATATTATGGGGTTGTGAAGAAGTGAGTAAATGACAGAAGTGTGGGGGATTTAGCAGAGAATATATTATGGGGTTGTGAAGAGGTGTGTGGTAGCGCATTGGCATGATGAACAATCACGATGGGGTATTTGGGAAAGAATGTAATGTAAGGATTGAACAATTGTACTTGATTCAACTATGTTATTTGTAGTGATCCCTTTAATAGTTTTTACGAGCAATCATGGTAGGTTATCTCAATTGTGTCTGAGTAACAAAATTGTAGATTATACTAAGGACTGTAAATTATATATCTAAATTATGTTACAATAATTTTTGTCGTCAAGTGTTTACGTTTTATTTATAGGAAGAGTAATAAGTTTCTTTTAGATAATAGTTTGTAACGACCCTCACTCTACCCAGACAATATTGTCCGCTTTTGGCTCCCCTGAACTAAAGACTTCTCAGGAGGTCACCCATCCCAAGTACTACTCCAGGTTAAGCACGCTCAACTCCAGAGTTCTGATAGGTTTACGGCCATTACGGCTTTAAAACGTGTTATTTCAGGGTGTTGAATCTACATATAGCACTTGCCCTTTCAAGATCCAGGCGATGTGAGATTGTGCACCTGTAGCTCTCCCAGTGGTAGCCTGCCAGTGCCTTGCACCTGCTCACATAGGTCGCCAAACTCGCCACAGTAGTGACTAAAATTCAAGTGGTTATTTTTAGACATCAAATTTCAACTTTTTTGTAGTTCATGCATATGGCACACTTCTAATTTTGACTACATCCTGTTCGTTCCATTGATATTAAGTAGATTTTAGGGTCTGCTTATCCGTTGCTCATAGACTTTATTATATGTTTGTTTTGTCTACTTTTTGTAATAGATCCTCTTCACATCACTTGATTTTTTTTTTTTAATGTACGCAGTTGGTCTTGTGCAGTGTTTTTCTCATTCACACTTGTTAATTATGTTTCCTGATTCATTAAGAAAAACAAAAAATGCTTGTATCTTTGGGTATGTGAAATACGCTAATTGGAAATTGGAAAGTTATTCATACCTCATCATGATTGATGATGCTCTTCTTTGCTCATTTGTAGAGGAATCTGAAACAGACAGTGAAGAGTCGGACGTGAGTGGTTCTGATGGAGATGACACTTCTTGGATCTCATGGTTTTGCAATTTGCGAGGAAATGAATTTTTCTGTGAAGTTGATGATGAATACATCCAAGATGATTTTAATCTTTGCGGGTTAAGCAGTCAAGTTCCATATTATGATTATGCTCTCGATCTAATTTTGGATGTCGAGTCCTCTCACAGTAAGCATTTTATTATGCTTAAGTTGAATTATTTTAAAGCCACATTTCTTGGTGCAGTCTTTTGAATATATGAAGGCTATGAAAGATATGCCAATGCGTGCTTAAGACGAAGTCGGACTATTCCTATATTGTGGGCAGACTCGTCACATAAGGGCTTCAAGGTCACTTAATTTTTTTTTTTTCGGTGTTGAGGCTGCCTGATCGGATAAAGGCGTACTTCTTAGCCAAAAAAAATACACCTTATACATTTTGATTTAGACACAATTTCTTGGATCAAAAGCAGTGCAATTCCTAATTGGAGAAAAATGCGTTTGTGAAGGTTCCTGCTAATTCTGCAGACTCCGAGTCTTGACTAATCCCGGCAATTTGAATATTGATGGGTGTCTTATATACCTAACAATCGCATGACCAGATTGCAAATTTAAGTCAATTCTTGCAGCATCCTTATAATCCACACCTTGAAGCCACTGTCGTGTTCTTTATTTAATTTCAACATAAGGGAAGAACATTCTCAAGCATCTAACGGCACTTCATAATTCAAACCTATTTAGGTTCTGATTGGGCGAGCAGTCCTAAAGTGCCGTTAGATGATTGAGAATGCTCTTTCCTTATGTTGAACGTAAATAAAGAACATGACAGTGGCTTATAAGGATGCTGCAAGAATTGACTTAAATTTGCAATCTGGCCATGTGATTGTTAGGTATGGTATATAAGCCAACCAGTCGATATTCAAATTGCCGGGATCAGTCAACAGTCTCCAGAATTAGGAACTGCACAGCTTTTGAATCAAGGAATTGTCTTAAGTGACCTTGAAGCCCTTATGTGATAAGTCTGCACATAAATAATATAGTATCTCTCTTTCTCTCTCACAGAGTTAGGTTCTGCTAGTAAAATTTTCTATCCCTATATGGACATGCAGGTGATATGTTGACTGAAGAACAGAATGAGTTGGTTGAATCGGCGGCAGAGATGTTGTATGGTCTGATTCATGTCCGGTACATATTGACTAGCAAGGGTATGGCGGCAATGGTAAGAGTCTTAGGTTAGGTTATTTCTGTTCTCTGTTTTCTATTTTGTGCCTTACATATTTCATGTTGTATTGATTAAAATTTTGCTGTGGGAACTTCTACAGTTAGAGAAATACAAAAACTACGACTTCGGGAGATGCCCACGAGTTTACTGCTGCGGACAACCTTGCCTTCCCGTCGGTCAATCCGACATTCCCCGTTCAAGTACTGTAAAAATTTACTGTCCGAAATGCGAAGATATTTACTATCCCCGATCCAAGTACCAAGGCAGTATCCTCCTTACATATCACCATTTTTTCTCTAGCTTTGAGCCTTATATATATTGTGTCTGCATTTTGGTTTGTGGTTGGCATAAACGAGGCAAAACCACTTCCCATTTTTCCCTAGCTTTGGGCCTTATATATATTGTGTCTGCATTTTGGTTTGCGGTTAGCATAAACCAGGCAAAACCACATCCCAGCAATATCTGGGTGTTGCACTTCAACCTTACCAATCAATTGATGTCCTTAATCTTTGAATAGGTAATTCTGGAAACAAATTAGTTGTGGTTAACTTCCCAGGTTATATTCTGGGAACTTAGATAAAAATTACCTTTTTATGTGGTATAGTCCTAAACATCATCAGCCTCTTACTTTCCAAAGGGAGGTCAGGGGTTCAAGTCTCAGAAGAGACGTGTGTGTGAGTACCAGCTAAGAAAAAAAACAGAAAAAATTCAGGAAATATTCATGAATATCTGAAGAATTACATATTCAGAGATTGAAGGACATCTGTTGACTGTTCAAAGTTTGAAGGACATCTGAAGGCTGTTAAGTTTTTCGGTTTGAAACATCCCATTCAACATTGGGTTATATGGTGCCTCCTAGGCTTGCGCGTCAACTGTCTAGATTAATGAGCACGCTCTATAGCTTGACGGGTTTTATGGAAAGATGACAACATTGAAGGAGGTAGGTCAGGGCTTCCATCTGCTAGTTTCATAAATAAATCAATGATTCCCTTGAAATCCAATTAAACATTTAAGAAAGAAGATAAAGTGGTGGTCTAATTTGGTCTTCTATGAGCCACTTTGGAATAGAATATGAAGAGAGGTTTTTTCTGAACTTGTAGAGCTGTGATACAAATTTTCTTTTCTGCACTCTGTACATAATATTTACCGCTCTATGTTAACAGTTTTCCTTGACCTTGGCAAGATATTGATGGAGCTTATTTTGGAACCACATTTCCTCACCTGTTCTTGATGACTTATGGGCACGTCAAACCGCAGAAAGCAACACAGAATTACATTCCAAGAGTATTTGGCTTCAAGATCCACAAGCCGTGACACAGTTCCTGCAGCGTTGTGTTGGGATCTCAAACGTTAACCAGTCTTGATTCTCGTCTTGCTTTCATTGACGATGGAGTGGTTCTAACAAGTGAGGTAAAGTGCAGTAGTTCCTAAAATGTGAAAATTGATCAATTGATGAAAAATCAATTCTGGACTGTACTTGCCTTTCAAATTTATAGGTGAATTTAACACAGCGTTTGTAAGCTTATTTCTTTTCCCGGGTTGAGAATCATTTGAAGTGTGTTCCCATGTAGTTCTTTGTTCATCTTTTATCCTCTCTTTTTTCTTCAAGTACTTTAATTGTCATTGTTCAGGCTGCAACTCGGGCTGAACCAACAAAGACAACCCAAGCCCAGCCCAAATATTTTTTGGGCTTAGGTAGTGTAAATTGCAATTCTGTTCGGACTTGGACTGAAAAGTGATTTTCCAGGCTTGGGTTACTGTGCCGGGCAACCTGAAACCCAACCCGAGCCTGTCCCGAATTACAAAATTTGTGGAGCCCGAACATTGAACCCTATATATATATATATATTTGTGTTGGTTGCGTGTGATTGGTTAGTTAGGGATTCCACTTTATTGGAACATATGCAAAAAGTTTGATTAGTTTAGCTTTTGATCCATTTGTTAATATGGTAGTTCAATATTTTCTTTAAGTATTAAAATTGCACGTATGTGTGAAAATCTAATTTGCTACAGAATTATAAACTAACCTTTTAAATTTTAAAGTTTAAAAACCATTGATAAACAATGAGTTATTTAAATTTAATTTATTAAACATTTTACACACTTTGATCAACTTGCATAAATCGATACGAAGTTTACACTATTAAAATTGATGAAGATTCCTTATCTTCTAAAAACTCAATGCAACGAAAATTGGGACAAATATTCCAAGCAAAAAAAGACAACCGGGACAAAATGATTCACTCGACGGGTAAGGTAAACTTACTTGAAGCGGATAAATGGAAATTGCAAACACAAAATTGAAATATAAAAATCTTGCAACTGTCATATATCAGGGCTGCATCTAGGGTGGGCCCAACCCAAATTTACCCGAGCCCAGTCCAAATTTTACGGGCTTGGATAATGATTTTTTTGGTCCCAGGCCTGGGCTAGGTTTATTTAGCCTGAATTCAATTCGATCCGGGTTTGGGTTATAATATATCATGTAGCCCGAAACCCAACCCAAGCTCATTCCCACTAATCCAATTTGTGTCTTCAGAGTAGAACATTGATTAATATATATATATATACTAAATAGATTATCAAAGGCAATTTTAAATACAATAAAATACTAATATTTAATAAATTAATATAATAAAATAAGTATGTATAAATTTTATATTATATATTTATATTAATATTAAAAAAATCAAGTGTGACACATATGATTAAATATTGATGGACAATGTGAAAAAATAAAATAAAAACTCATTCACGCTAATAGATTCTGAAATATACAATGAAAGTGATTACTTTTAAAATGTTCAAGAATAATCTATCATTATATATGATTATATTTTGTATAGAAGTCTATTCATAAAAATGTAATATTTGATTGTGATATATATTGAATACAAAAAGATACTTTCTATTTGAATGAAAAATTAAAAGATGATCTTATATAACTTTCAGTCAATACGCTCCTCAATATTCTTATCACAATTTTTTATCACTCAATATGGTAGTGAATTGTCATATATATTATTCACAATTAATTTTACTTATAAATGTATTATTTATGCATTTATTTGAAAACTATATGATATGTTTTAAAAGGGTATTTGTTTCGAAAGATAAATTTATAAATTGAATCCTATAAAACAAATAAAATTCAAAAAGATTTCATTAGCTATTATAAAATACAAAAGGCTATTATATAATTGTGGAATAATAAAATTTTAATTTCATAAGAACTTGCAAATGTGTTTAAGTTAGCAAACTTCCTGATATACAAATATTATTATTAATTAAAAGGGTTGAAAGCAAAAAATAAGGACTTGAATACTGAAAAGATTAAAGTGATATTCTATAACTGAATAAAAAAATAGGGAAACAAATTAATTAAATATGAAATAACTAAATTGTCCCTCTTATATATATATATAATATAGGGTTGTGGGCAAAAAACACCCTTATAATATGCATATAGAGTATATAACCCTTTATATGTTCTAAAATCTCCTTAACATTCAATTTTGGTGCAAACAATGAGTAGAATGCTGAAAAGACTAAAACATTCCTTAATACATTCTCACATTGCCCTATAATAATATACCCAAAATAAATGATAGGGATATTATTTACCCAAAATTAAAACATTAAGGGTGTTTTTATTACTTTGCCCTAATTTAAATACAAAATAATTGAATGACTTAGGTACATACCACTCTAATTACATTTTTAGATATCTCTCAATTCTTCATAGCTGCAAAATAAATCACAATTTAGTGGCACAAAACAAATCTCCACTATTGATATAGAAGTTTATTAATTGAAGTATGAAAATGTTGATATAAGTATATACTATATAGTTGAAATAAGAGTTTATTAATTTAGTATGAGTGTATTAATTTTGTTGATGTGATATATTAATTTTATTGATGTTGAGGTGTATAGTTGAAATGATTTAAAATATTTTGTATCTTTAATAATAAAATAATATAGATAGATTTAATAATAGTATGGACAAAATTTATGTGATTAATTGGTGATATATATTAAATATAAAAAATATGTTTTCTTCATCATTTATATATTATATATTATTTACAAATATATTATATTAATTTTGTATTTATTTTAAAAAATGTATGAAAATACGATATATTCTATAATTATCAACCAATCTCCAATCCACCATTTTGTGCTTCAATCTCCACCGTCTACCATTCTTGTACTTCAATCTCGACCATTATTATATATATATATATATATATATATATATATATATATATATATATATATATAACTTTGTTGCCCTAAATTCCTCACACTCACCTCTCTTTCTAGAGAAACCTAAGACAGAGAATTGAAAGAAGGCGTCAACATCGATCCACAATCAGGCTCAGTTTGGTAGAGTGGGTTTGAAGGGAAAGGGAAGGGAAGGTGATGGAGGGTTATAAAAAAATTGTGTTCGGGTAAAGTGAGTGGAGGGAAAGGGAATGAGAGGGAAGGGTTTGGAGGGGTTCTTCATAACAATGTACAGTAATTTTTTTAACCTTCCAAAAATGGGAGGATAAGGAAGGAAAGGGAAGGCAATGGCAGGTAATGGCTCATATAATATTTGTCATATAATATTTGTCATGCCACTTTTACCCTCAAAATTGCACTTGATATTGGGCATGTATTCAGCGCGGGAAGTTTGCGACGGCGGACGGCGAACCCGAACTGGAATAGCGATGGAAACTGAAAGATGTGGGTTTTGATTTTTTGATGCGAACGGCGACGGCGAACCCGAACTGGAACAGGATGGAAACTGAAAGATGTGGGTTTTGATTTTTTGAGGCGGACGGCGAACCCGAACTGGAACAGCGATGGAAACTAAAAGATGTGAGTTTTGATTTGAGAGAGAGAGAGAGAGGGCAAGTTCAGATTTGAGAACGAGATTAGAGATGGAGGCTGAAATGATTTGCCCTAATCATTTTTTATTTTATTTTTTATTTTTTGTAGCAAAATATAAGAGATTATATATATATATATATATATATATATATATCTTTTTAAATATAATAAAGGTATAATAGTAAATTTATTTTTATTCTTTCCTTTCCTTTCTTTTCCCTAATATAATTATTATTCTTCCCTTTCTTTTCCTTCATTAACCAACTAAATACAGTGGAGGGTTAAAATTATCCTTCCCTTTCCCTCATAACTAATCTTATCCTCCCATTTCAAACCCACCGTACCAAACATAGCCTCAGTCTCTTATCTTCTACCACCATCACCATCGCCTCCACCTAACTCAATCGTCGACCTCCATCAACCTTACAGTTAGTTCTCTCTTTCCCTTTCTGAGTCTCTTTTTTTTTCTTCTTCTACATGCTACTCTCTCAATCTCTCTCTAGAATGCTCTATTTCACATATTTTCTTTCTATTAATGGACTATTGCTATTGGAATTGAAAACATTTTTATTGATTTACGATTGCCTGATATTTGAGTAGTATTTTACTTAAATATAGATTTATCTGGAATATTAATTTAGAAAGAGGAAATGTCACGCCCCGCAAATTCTAACACAAGAACCCTTGTCTTATACTAAAACTTGGTATGTGACTCACATCATTCATCCACCATAATCCATGATTGAATCAATAAGAAAACATTTTTTATTCAAAAATCTAACAATCCAAATGAAATTTATTACATCCCCAACTAATTCAAAATTTCACCAACTAAGTGAATCTTACTACAAAGTGTTCACTAAGAAACAATAATAAAATCATAATGTAGAAATCCGGAAATCTCCTTCTCTCACTGAGCCTCCTTTGCAAGCTAATCCATATGCACCTGAAAGTAATGAAGGGGTGAGCTCACAAGCTCAGCAAGAAATTGCTAAACACTATCATCGTTCAGCAAGCTAATCCTTACTTAAAATCCGTATATATATACATATATAAGTGACCGCGAAATATCTACTAATCATCGTCATTCTATAATATTAACTCAACCTGTGAACTTGTGACCCATCTAGAATTTAAATTACTAAAATTCCCACTTACCTCACATGAGCCCCTGGCTCCCCTTAATCAGTTGGCGTTTTAATGCCATTACCTCACATGAGCCCCTGGCTCCACTCCGAATAAATGGTGTGCATTGCATAGTCCCTGACTACCAAATACACACATGTGGCTGGGTTGTACGTCTACTCACCCAGATGGCCCCTGACCACGTCCACATACTAAGGGCACCTTTAGCCCCTTGGCCATATCAAAAGAGTAATTTAACTCCTGTAGACAGTCCCTGACTGCGCTCAACAAACTCATCATTGTATAAGTCTCAGAC